TGATGGTGACGACAACACTCCATTACATTTGGCGTGCAGGTGCTGTACATTCTCTGATTTTATCCATAAACGTTTATACGCATATATTAGAAATACCAATTTTAAATTTTTCTCTAAATAGAGGTGCAGTAAATACGCAAACAGTAGAATTACTCTGCAAAGTATCACCTTCATTGCTAAATAGCTTAGGTGAGCGTTCTAGAACACCTCTCCATATAGCGGTTTCTTACGGCCACTCTACTGTCGTTAAAACACTACTTGAAAATGGCGCTGAAACTGAAAAAAGGTATGAAAATACGTGCTTTTTACCAATTTTCTGTATTCGTAAGTCTTCCAATATTTCCTTAAAGGGATGGTAGCTACCTAACGCCGTTAGAAATAGCAGCCAGTAAGGGACACCAAGAAATTCTGGAATGCCTATTGAATAGTAGAGCGTCCGTGAACTCGATAAATTTTCATGGAGTAAATCCTATCATTATAGTTTAGTTAGTTGCAATTACACTGGGTTGTTTAATATGTCTTATCGCTCTTCGGGTAGGAAACTGCATTGCACATTGCAGCGGCAACAGGACATGCAAATTCTATCAAGTTATTATTGGATCACGGCGCTGAAGTCAGTTTTGTAAATAATGAAGATAGGACTTGCTTAGATATAGCCATTGAAAATATGAGAAAAGATGCTGCAATGGTTATAGTGACTCACAAACAGTAAGAACTTCATATTCTAAATAATATTAATATAATTTTGAAGCACAATATGCTGATATGATGAAAGCATTCAGGTTAGATGACATTATCCATAACCTTTGTACGAAACTTTTTTAGAGGAAAACGTGATCTAATCATGAGGAGAGTTGATGAGCAAGGAAGAACTGTGATGCAAAACTTGATTAGAAAACTTCCAGAAGTTGCGGAGGTAGGGTATTAATATAAGGGATGAGTATGGTAAAATAGCGCCTATTTATGAACTATTCTAACAGCAATTGTCCCCAATTAATTAAAAGAAATTTTATTTATCTACTTGTCCACTGTTCTATGTTATAAAATTAGACTGTTATGAGTTCCTGTATACAGCATGACATAGTTGAAGATCCAAAATCCACAAACAAACATGTAAATAAATGCCTTATTCCTTGTAAAAGCGCAACTCCATTTATTAATAGTAGTATAATAATATTAGATCTACTTTTATTCTAAAACATTCAATC